GACTGGGGGGGGGGGAATTATACTATTCCAGGAGAACATTGTAGGTTTATGTAGTTTTGTTTTTTCTAGTCAAAAGACTATTATGTTCTATATCTGAAAATGTAGCACGTGAAATTTTGATTTTCATTGTTTATCACAAGGATTTTTTTTCTTCTCACTCAGATGTCTCACTTACGGGAGCCTCAAGTGTGCATGGAGCCCATCTCATTCTCGCACAGATTGTTGCCCTTCTGATGAAGAGATTTTACCACTTTAGGCGAGACTGGAGAGGAAGTCTGTCAAATGTGCTGCTGCCTGTCTTCTTTGTTGCACTGGCAATGGCCTTGTTTAGTGTGAAGCCGCTGGCTATTGATTATCCTTCTCTCAAGTTGACACCAAGACTTTATGACAATGCAGAATCCTTCTTTAGGTAGGTAAAGGGCTCATTTATCATCATCAATATCCAGGTTTCAGGACCTTTACCCTTGACTTCTCATTTTTAAAGACTATTTTCATTCTTGGAAGAATAATATGTTACTTTTTACTATTTTTCAGGTGCTTAGATTTTTATAGATTATTATGAAGGAGAGATAAAATTAGAAATGCATTGTGCAAAGGATTTTCTGAAGGAAAGGGAAAAGGCTTTGGAGCAGTTTCAACTGGCTAATCTGTTTCAATACCAGTCATGGCTACTTATATGTAAATGCAGAAGTGCATTTGAACAAGCCTTTACATGCTTCATTTTAACTAATTGCTTAGGTCTGAAACTATTTTCTCAAAATAATTCTCAAGTTTAAAAGTGTCACACAGTATTAACAAAGCCTGGTGGCCTACTTACTCAGCATTTAGTTTCTATATGCTGAGTTTAAATCAACTACATTTATTTATTTATTTATTTATAATATATGGTATCTATAGCCCAGCTCTCAATGATTCTGTATTGAATGTAGATCACTTTCTCTCCAGGACAAATATCTAGATATAATAATAAACATAACACTAAGATCTTTGAATTTATAAATGAAACATAAAAACACTTAAACCACGTTAACTGTTAGGAATGCATGTTTATAAAGAGAAAGATGGCCATGGGGAGACATTGAGATTTGTTTAGTCATAATTTTATTGAATTTTCTTTACATGTTCATATGCAGTTTTTGGAATGAGAAAATTTTGCTGGTTTTGTGTGTTTCCTATGCATGCATTTATAGTTCTTTAATTTCTTGGTAAACACGTAGGATCTTGAGCCTGAAAGTTAATAGAATTAGACATATTGATATATTTGTGGGTTTTTTCTTTTTTTTTATTCCTTTCCCTTCCTCTTCCCCCATGTCCCACTTTGAACAGCACTGAAGATGATAACCTAGGAAACCTTTCTCAGATTCTACTGAGATACTTCTCTGATTGGGACAACACATGCATGCATTCAAAACAAGGGTAACTGTGAATAACGTAACTACTTCCTTAATGTCAAATTGTAAATATTGTAAATTCAATATTTCTTTTCTGTGTAATGTAAACTATCTCAAGCTTTTCTTACAGCATGAGGTTAGTGACAAATCAGTTCTGGTGAAGGAGTTGGCATCCAGGTGAAGTACATAAGTAGGCTTCATTGTTAAAGATCTGATCCAAATCCCCCAAATCAGTGACGGTGTTCCGATTAATTTCAGGAGGATTTCAGCCAAGTCTGGTGTCCCTATGAATGAAAAGTAAGACAATAATTGCAGTATTTGTTAGGAAGCATTCCAGATTTCTAAATTTAGGAATGCAGAGTTGTGACCATGCTTTAATTATCTCATTGCTGCAAACATAAGGCATGCAGCTCATTTGCTGCTTTATTCATATAAATATTTTTAGTGAATCTACTTTGATAAAAATGAGTAAAATTGATACAGATTTAGAGACAGCTGCCACTGTAATAAAATGCTAAAAAGGTGTTCAAGATGCCAGATATGCTTGTTAATCTGTGGATTTCTTCTGTTAAGTAATATACTCATTTTATTTAATGGTTGTTCCTATTATATTTATTCCTACTAGAAAAAACTATTCATGTTGGCAGATGCAATCTATGTCACCCCAGGATTCATGCGGATGTGTGGCTGAACAAGAAGTATGTCACTTTATATTTACTTATGTATGTAAAAATTGTGCGTGTGTATATTACCTCTAATACACTCTTCTTTTTGAAGAAGAGTTTCATCTAATAGAATTAGATGATTCTATTAATCTAATTTCTTTTTCATCTAATGTTTGGGCTACGTGTTCTGAAGTCTTCAGGGAAAGCACAGTTTTGATGTGTGTGTGTATGCACTAGAAATGGTTATAGACTGATCTGAAGTAACAGGAATCAGAGATGGCTGAGCTATTCTCAGCAGATACAACTTTGCTTTAAATATATTATAGGACTTTGCTTACAAAAAGCCTCAGATGAAATAAGTTTAAAACATAACAGTTCCATAATACCTAGAAGACTGCCTGCTTTCAAAAGGGAAGGGCAAGTGATCTTAGCTGAGAGAAGCTACCAGGGAATCTACATGTGAATGAGATTTAATTGTTAGAGTTTGGTTTTGATTTGGATTGTGTATTTCAAAATAAAACAACCTATGAGGAAAGAAAGAATTTTGAAACAGATAATGAATTTCTGAGTTTCTTGACTAGTGAGTTTTCCTGCTGACTTGCTCTGAGGTTGAGTGATAAACAGGAACGTGAAACTGTGTCTGAGGTGACAAATATATTTCCCTGGATGGGAACATTCTATCAAATAAATTCCCTTCTTCATAAAGATATAAATATTTAGAGTAAGAGTTGCATCTGAAATATAGTGATACAGTTTTGGGAAAAGTGACAGGAGGAAATTAATTCTTTACATTACTGGACAAGAAAGAAATTTGCCTGTAATACTAGTGAGACATATACTTAAATACAACAAGCTTAAATAAAATGGGAATGGGAACTCACACAAGAAGAGGCCCATTAACCATGGAAGCTCAAAGGAGAGAAGTAACTTAACAGTGGAGGCAGAACCTGTATCTGTGAGCTATGGAAAACCAGAATCTCTGAGAGTCAATTTTAATTTGTGTAGGGTTGAGATATCAAATAAAAATTAACATTTTTCAGCTGATACACAGAACGTACTTTATAAGGCTTCTGAGATATCTAATCATATCTTTTCTTTAGTTGTGAGAATATTCCACTGAAACATCAGAAAAAATCTTCATTTATTCTTCTCTGCAGTCCATCAGTGAATTTTTTTAGAAGCATATTGCATTAATTAGAATTTTGTTTTCATCTCATATTCATCTGGTGCCTTTTTTGTGTTTCTTTTTAGGCACAAGTGAATAGCAGTCTTGCCTTTTTCATTGTTGTAAACTTTTCTAAACGTATATACAAGTTTTGATGTTTTCAAAAAAACCCTGACAGGGTTGCAAGAGAAATCAAATGTGGTTCTAATATGTAGGTGATGCAATTATTTGAGATGCCTTATAAACATAAAACCATACATAATTTATTGAAAAATAATCAAAGCTGAGAAAGGCAAATACAGTTGAATCTACATAAAAATTCAAAAATATGGCTATATGTAGTGCCACTGATATTTCAGAGTGCTTTATTTATTTTTCGTATACTGTTTTTCAGATGTGTCAAAGTTTCAATACTTCTGCTCCCTACATGAAGAATAAGAAAGGACATATTTTGTATAATCTGTCGGGGTTCCTTGTGGAAGAATATTTAGTGAGGCCTTCCAACAAAGCAAGGTAACCTTTAAATATCTAACCTTTGCTTATGCTTTGTGTATAAAAACTACAGTCTTTCCTGATCTTATGACATGTGACTTATGGGCTTATGTCACTGAGAATATAAGGGGTAGTTGCCTTTGTCTGATGGGTGTTATCAAGGCATAGAGTCAGGCTAAGGTAGTGTGGAACCCCCTCCATGGTGACTTCTCAGAGCTTCCTCCAGCAGTTGCATGATAATTGCCTCTAGGCATACCCTGGCTCTTCTTGCCACACAGTGAGTTATTTCAGCATCTCAGAGAAAGAAAAAGTATATGCATATGCAAATCAGATGAACAATATAGTTTCCATTCCTCAGAGACTCAATCAAATAGAGGTGGATATGCCCCAATTAATCCTTTCTTTAAATTAGAAGGGCTGGTATCCCTCTGGCAAGCCTTCATATTCTGTGATACCAGCTGTATTTTGAAGTTTACTTACGTGCCTTTACAGCTCAACCACTGCCTTTGACATAAGTGCAAATGGTAGACCAGGTATGATTTTATCAAGAAGGAGAAGAAAGTGTTAGCCATTTACACATTTAAAAATAATTTTAAAAAAATGTATCTTATGTGATAAGAATAGAGATAAACATCTTAAGATGAATGATTTGAGCTAGAATATGAATGGAATAGGAAGAAATCAAGATGTTTTAAGATGTTTCTGAAAGTCAGTAACACCTCTCTTGCTTACAAACCCTCCTGTCGCTGAGGGATTTCAGCTTTCAAAAAGTAAAAATTCTTATCTGAGGGCATCCCTTTGCATGAAAAGAACAATAATATTCACCTGATTCAAGAGTATATTCAGCTTCTCCTTTTTAACAGAAAAGGGGTTTCTGAGGCATGAATTTTTATTTTCAGTTGAAAAATAATTACTGTAGATATTACCACTTTGTTATTGCAAGAAAAGACTGCTAAGCTTGAGGCAGGTAACTTGTTATTACTTTATTTTCTATTACCAGATACGGTGGTTGGTCTTTTGGAGGGAGGAAAGCATTTGAGCTGCAAGATGAAAAATTGAATAACACCAAATCTAAACCTCTGGTTAAGGTAAGGGTAGCATGTATGTGTGCACGTTTGTGTGCATGTATTGCTTATTTATTCAGGCTCCAGGCTTCACAGCACTTAGCAAATACTAAATTATTATATAAAATCCTTGCATTTAGAAATTGAGAGAAAAACTTTCTTGTCTATTATAGTTGTCGTGGTTTTGGAGGGACTAGCCACTGAGATGAATGACAATAGTCCACTTCTCTGTTCATAATTGTTGAAGTATTCTCCTGTCTTCTGAGAAGCAGTTTTATGAGTTAAATTATACAGCTTTTGGGTTTTTTCCCTTTGAACTTATTTCAGAGCTCACCTTTAAAACATTTTGTTAGATAATCAACCCTGATATTCCTTTTTTGTTTGTTTGTTTTCTTTTGTCAGAATTGACAAAAGTTCATTGAACATCTCAAAAACGAGTTATTTTTGATAATTTTTTCGTTTCTGTTAAGAATACCTTTCTCTGCTACACTACTTCATTTTTCCCCCCCGCACTCAAAAAAAACCCCAAAACCTAAAGATTTAGCATCTAGGAGTAGTTGCTTCTGCATATAAAACATGCTGCTTTTTGGTTTTAATCCTCTTTTCAAATATGAGTAACTTTCCATTTTTATCCCAAAGAAACAGAAGTGTGCCTTGCTGAAATTAGTCAGGGTATGAAACTTGAATCTCTTCTTGACAGTAGATCGTACTGTATGGCAACAGTACACAGAGCCAGTGGTTTCTGTCTGGAGCTACCAGTCAGGAAAAGAAAGGTTATTATAAGCACAATTTAAATAAAGAGCTTTTCCTTGAAGCTGTTCGGTGTGCACTGTAAAGATACAGTATCTCCATACTGTAAAAACTTGGGATGGGACCTAGAAGCTAACGGGCAACCATCAGTGCAAGGGGTTTTATTTTTTTGGGAATGCTTTGAAAGGTTCTTCTGACATCCATTCAAATGTGGACAGCTAATGAGTAGAGGAACAACAGTTTTGGAGTATTGAAAATTATCAGTGAGGGGTCTCTGTTTTTCTATTTGAGTGGAAGCTGTGGACTTTCCAGATTGAAATATGAAAGCAAGATGCTTCTGTCTTTAAATTGTTTTAGGGGGGTATAGAAACTAGATTTTATTTGCTCTTATAAAAGAAGAAGAGAAGGAACAGTGTAAATAACTCTATCCCAAAATCTGTTTGGGGACAAAATGTTAAAACTACATACAGATATTCTCCAATCGAATATAATTCCATGATTAGTTTTGCAAAATCAATGTCTGTTTGCAATGCCTTTTGCGTGTGGTTTTGTTAAAAATCTCTTCATCTTATATACATACCTTACCTTACATATTTTCATTTTGGTCATTTGTGATCTCCCTTCTACCCCCAGATTTCTTACAGCTTTGAACTACAGTTCCATCAATCCTTCATTAGGAACTTGAAGTGCTAGAGGATTTCAGTAAGATGTGTTTTTCTGGCTGCTGTTTTAGTCCCATATATCTTTAATCATTTTAGACTCTTGTTTTGACAGGCATGCACTGTGGATTTTGTCAGGGTCCTTTTTTTTTAAAATGCCTTTGGCATAGAGGTCCACCTGCCATGAGCACAGGGATAAATTATAGTTACACTGTTAGTGAAAAAGCTTCATATTTCAGACCCAAAGAAAATAGTGGAGTAGATTTATAAAGGGCACTGTGTTATCTAAAATACCTCCTAGAAGTGGATTTCAACTGATGCAATGTCAAATTATTGCATTAACCTTTCAGTAATTAATGACCAGACTTTTACTTTGACCTTTCAGGCTTGTTCATGAGACAGTGAATGTACCATTTACATAGCCTTGTGTGAAAGAAAATGAGAAATTTGCATTTGAAGAGACTTACTGTACGATTCATTTCAGTTTTGAAAAATTCTGAATCTTTAGACCATATTCTCCAGTCTCAAAAGTTGGGATTTGAGTCTTTACTGTACAGTAATAGTATAAGTGTCCAGAGGAAGTTATAACTCTTCAGTCTTATGGTGCTTCTCTCTGCCTCCTCATCATGAATCTGGTCTAGCAGTGCTTAGCTTTTTCTTTACAGGCCATGGGTTAGTGCAATTGTGTCTAGTAGTATTCTGGAATATTAATGGCAGGTAAGAATGGTACAGAATAACAGAGAACATGACTTTACAGAACTTATATCTAATGTGGTTGAGGGACTGTGTTTTTCCTTGGAAAGGAATTTTGTCACCAATGGATAGAAGCTAAAATAATAAAAAAAAAGAATTAACCATTTAAATCTATATATTTATTCAATTGCTCATCTCTTTTCTGCCTTCTGTAAATAATTACCTGTGTGGCAGACAAGAAATATGAAATATATTTCAGCTGGAACTAATATTTTCCAGTTTTCATATTTTACCTTTGCAATCAATTTTGAATAAGCCACATGAGTTTAGAAAATAGAGCTTAAATGTATCTTCTGATGAAGTGAACAATCATAAATGTCTCTTTTGCCAGATTATAAATAATTAAATATCCAGCTTCAATTTTATTTGATTCAGTTACATGATGTAGCTTGAAGGAAGAATTCTAATTAATATATGGGAAATTGAAATGTATTGTTATACACAATGCTTTATTGTGGGTCTTTTGTTTCCATTTGAATATTGGTCACATTATATTTCTAAGGTGTTTTGTGAACACTTGAGACCTTGCCCCTAGTTTGGTTAAATGAGGATGTGTCATCAGAATTTTGCTTTATTGTTTTCTTAATTGCCTTTTTTTCAATACAACACACACAATTGCAGTGGAGTTTCATTATGCATGTATAACTTTTTATGGGGCACAAATCTTTTTAATGGGGGGGGGGGGGGGGGGGGGGGCGGGGGCGTGTATGAAGAAGATGTTTCTTTGCTTGCCATTTGCATAGGAGATCAAGCAATGCAAAGATTTGCAGTTTTCCTCAGGACACCTAGGTTCAATTTCACTTGATTTCTTTAAAGAACTCTCTTTTTTAATTAAAGAATGGGAGATCTAGTTTGTGTAGTAATTTGTGAGAACTGAACTGCAGGAGAACCAAGGAATTGCATATGAGTTTGCAAAGGGGGGAAGAGTTTGGGATTTGTTCTTTTTTCTTTTCTTTGAACGTGGGGACATAAGATGCTGTTGAAATTTCAAGCAGTTGTGAAGACCACATAAAGATGGGTAGAAAATATGAAAGCTAGTGCAAGCAAGAGCGGTGGTAGACCAAAGCTGCTCATTTTTAAAATAATCACTCACAGACCTTATGGCAAAGAAGATTCAAGGGTGAGAGGTACAGGAGAAATGACAGTGGAGCTCAGAATGGTGTTTGATAGCGTGATATGGGATAGATGGGAGGAAATGGAATGGACAATTAGAGTGCTGGAAACATTGCCTCACAGCAGAGTACAATGAGGAGGTCCAAACAAGTAGGTAGTCAGGAAATTAAATCACGAGAAAATAATTATTAAGAGAGGGAAACTGAAGATTACACAATCTGTACTGGGAAACATAGAGAAGAACATGGCAAGCAATCGGTTGATGTCCAAGTAAGGACTGCAACTGGACACTACAAGAAATTAAAAACAGAATTATCTTCAAGTAAATAGAAAAAAAATATATGGAACTTTACACTGCTATCAAGAAGAGGCACATACATGGGGAGGAGCACTAGACGAGAACAGCATCAGAGTGACGAGAAAAGACTCTTTAGGGAAGTTTCCGAGATGTAACTGTATAGATGGTAATTTTAGAAAGGAACTAAGAAAACTGAAATCCTAACAGATAGGTGTTAAGGAGCAAGGCAAGGAAGACCTATATTAAATATGTGCATTTTTCAGTATGATTCCGAATGATTCAGACAAAAAGTGAGAATTGCCCAGCATCAACCTGAGATGTATAAAATGCAGATTTGGAAATAGCCAATATCAAATAGGCAAAGGTTCAGAATTTTTCAACTGTATAAACAAAGACAGAAGATGAAAGGTCGCTGTGGAGTGAGGAATGCATAGGAATCAAAGATGATTTGAAACATGTCACTAAACTGAAAACAAACATACATAATGATTTGACCTAGTTTTCAGTAAGGATAATGCAGGTTCAAAGATGCTATGATTAACAGTAGTAAAGCATAGAAATTAAATCAATTTCCAAAGACAAAGGAAAACTCAAACCATGTTTTATTTGGTATTGGGACACATTAGACTCTCAGCAATGACTCTAGTACATGGAAGTGTGAATTTTGAGTGTATTTACCAAATCACGGTGATTCCGCATGATTTGAGGATAAAGTATATCTTACAACAGAATTGCTTGCCTGTGCTCTTCAGAGATGAGCTTGCCTCATCTGCCTTAAAGTTTGTCTGTATTAATTTCCTCCATGCTTAACAAACCACTGATAATTGCTTGTTGAAGGTGGAAATACAGCTTTGTCCTTGGTGGAATAGTTTCACATTCACCTTGTAAACAGTGCCTCCTTGATTGTTTCTTTCCCCACTTTCTAGGATATTCCAGACTGTGTCAGTTGCAGATATTATTTAGATAAGCCTTTTTGAATTTCAGTAATGTTCTTGACTTGTAACACTAGTTTTACTTATCTTTTTCTATTTTCAATTAAATTAGAGAATGCTATTTTTGCATGGTTTTTCATCTATTTGTTCAACAAAATATGTGCAAAGGAAGTGACACAGTGTTACACTAAATCAGAGAATCTCTATTTAGTAATTAACATAGGTGTACAGCTAGAAGTAGAAGATAAACTGCTGCACTCTGTTTAAAGACCAGTACAAGTTAACTGATTCTATTCTGCCTAGTTCACCTTCTATAAGCAAGTGTCATAAGAGAAGGATTAGATATCTTCATACTATTCTTCAAGTTATGGGAGCTTTCAGATCAGTGTTCAGATTCAACTCATTTGTGTTTCACAGCTTCTGTTCTCTCTTCCAGGTGTGGTACAACCAAAAAGCTTTCCATTCTCTACCATCCTACTTAAATGAACTCAATAACTTCATTCTGTGGCTGAATTTGCCTCCTGATGTGGATTGGAGACAGTACGGTAATAGTCTAAGTCTTTTTTTCATATTTTTTGAAAAGTAGTTTTCAAATAAACTAATATAATTTTAAGTATAAAAATTTTCATAGTATGAAGTAGGGTCGCAGAATCACACACTTCTTGGGGAGATTTGAAAGTGGAACTTTTAATTTAGGAGAAGCTTTGTTTGTGTGGAGAATGCAGTGCACAATAACATAAAATTAGAATTTACAGCTCGCTATGCCATATGAAGCAGGTTGCCCAGAAAGGCGTTAGATGCTTCAGTCCCTGGAAACATTCAAGGTCAGGCTGGAAGGGGCTCTGAGCAACCTGATCTACTTGAAGATGTCCCTGCTTGTTGCAGGGTTGGACTACATGACCTTTAAAGGTCCTTTCCAAACCATTCTATGAGGTGCTTTCAAAGAACATTCCTGTGGAATAAGTGTAAAATGGTTTGCTACACTTGGGATGTTAGTCCTTGTGAAACCACTGCTAAGGCTTGCTTAAATGGAATGATTAATCCACAACAGAGTATTTTGTAGAAGAATTGTTGAAGAATTTGTAACTTCTCTGTCATTTTACTCTGTCTCCTTATGTAAATATCCAGAGTAAACCCAGAGTATCTTGTAAATTCACAGTGCAACGTGATGTTCCATGGCATTCTGTTACTCAAGGAACAGGAGAGTCTGGTGTATCTTACTTTTGTATACAACAGAAGAGAGATTCATATATTTGACCTCTGAATTCTCTGATTCACATATTCCTGAACCGTGTTAAAACTAGTTAAAATAAAAATTTTACAAACTGACTTTTAACAAAATGGCTGCAGCCAAAGAATCAGTGAACTTTTAAGATGTTGAAATCTAGTTTGAAACGTGGGCTTGATAGCTCAGGCTAATTTCTGTTCGTTCCAGTTCCTTTCATTGTTATGATTCTGTTAGAGAGGAACCAGTTTGTTTTCGAGAAATTTAAGAATAGCTTCTGACCAATTTTTTAGTTTTTGAAAATGCAGGATGGTTGTCTGTAGTGGTAAATGTGTTTATAATGAAGAAGGAAGAAAGAAGACTAAAATTAGTGAAAAGGGGGAAAGAATCCTGAGTATCTGAAAATAGAAATGAATTAAGAATATTTTCCAGAATGTCAATGAAAAAAGAATAAATGCTTGCTTTCAAGATGGCTGCGGTTTTATTTTGAGAAATGAATTATGAGAATGAATCAAAGGTAATGTATTTCTGCAGAAAGGTTCAATGAAATGAAATCAGGTATTTTAATGAGAATTTTTAGAAATCAATTTTTAATCAAGTTTCCCTGCACTTCATCAATAGTACTATTGCTAGCTTGTTTTCTGTAGCATCAGATGTCCCGTTCTGAACTTAAATGTTTAAGTACCTTTACTTTTACATCTGTCATGGAAAATTGGCAACATACCATCCAGATTACAGTTGGAGAAAATTATAGTTGTTCCAAGGATTGTGCGAATGTTATATTTTATGCTGTTGCATGACATAGAAACACAAGAAGCAAAACAGTGCATAAGAAATGTTTCAAGTCTTGGATTGTCATCTATACAAATATGTGCTTATTATATAACCTTCTGGCAGAATATGCAGAAGTAGAGTTATGAACTAGAAAGCAATTTATTTATGTACATATCTATTGGAGAGGTGAAATAAAGATGGGTTGATCATGCTCTTGAGGCATAATGCAGAGGGACCTGTCCATGAAATCCTAGAAAGAGAAGTCGTTATTTACGTATTGATCTGTATGTGTGTTTCCACGCGTATGTGTGTATACGTGTGTAGAGACAAATGCAGGTGTATATTCTATAAAAAAAATACCCAAACAACAGTTTTCCACCACTATTTGGGGCATTTAAGCTCAGCTCACTTTGACTTTTAACTATCTCTTATTTAAGGATACTTCTCTGACAGAGAATTATTATTTATATGCTTTTCTTATTAAAATGGTTATATGCAAAATAATGCTGTAAATTAGCAGTCAGAAGACTACGTACTATGTTTCAACACTGAAATCTATTATTTTTGATTTTTTTTCCCTCTTGCAAATTCTGCTTATATGGAAGGCCAGTTTTAGAATATTATTGGAAATTGCTGCCAGGAAGCTTGTTAGGATGTTGCAGAAATGTAGCTTTGTAATTCTGATTTGCATTAATGCCATTTTTTTTTCACATGATGACATTTTCCTGTCAACAAAACCAGTGCTTCTGTATTACTTTAAGTGGCATAAAAATCATTTGACCTTCTTTCATAAAAAGACAAGTCTTCCTTTACTACAAGATGTTTAGTTCAATAGGGTGGAGCCTTACCATGGATGTAAACAGAGTAGCCACTACTATGATATTGAAACAAACTTGAAAGAGGTCAACAGCTTTCTTGTTTGTTTAAATGGTCATATAAATACTGAGGAACCCTTTCACTTAGCAGTTATATCCTGTGGGTATTTCTTGAGCAAGCGGGTGGTTGGAGTTCTCCCAAGTTCTCTGGAGAAGGGAAGATTCATTACAGGCAGCGTGCCTAGTTCTACCTGCTTTGCTCAAGGGACGGATCTGGTAACTTTCATAGGAGATCAGTAGTACTGGTCCCAGTTTGTGTCAGATTTTACTCTTAAGGAGCTGAGAAGGAGGTTAAATATTTTTGCTTAATGTTTTTTCTTCAGTCAGGAGGATACAGGGAATATAAACCTAGGATTTTTTATGAGAGTTTGAAGGAATCTCTTTTATATCCTAAGGGATTTGTATCTAGTAAAAATTGTGAAAAAAATAAATTATTATTTTTCTTGTGTCAGTCCAAGTTACTGACTTGGATCTTGAACATGAAGGAGCACAAAATGATAATTACTTGGTGATCAAAAATACTTCCTTTTTATTATTGTATAATCTATTTTTCAAATCCTTTCTTTGGAAGTGGTGACATTTCTCTCCCCTCTTTCTCCCCTCCTCCCCTCCCCATGTGATTATCAGTAAACTTCTCCATGGGATGCTTGGAAGTTTACAATGTTTGCTTCTTGTAATTTTCATGTGAAGAGTGGTATGGTTGTTGGTTGAAGGTGTGTGTGCCAGCTGGAGGTGCATGTAAATAGATGTAGCAACAGAAGTTAGCTGGACTGATTTAGGTCAGTTTATCATTGTTAATGGATCAGATGTCTATTTTGGAAGAGCAATTCAGGAATACTTCTTCTATGAAAATAGTTCATCTTCTGTACCATGCTGATAGCCAACTCTAGCTTCATAATCTCGTAAATCTGGTTTCTCTTGTGGAAAAAACATCTGTCTTACTGGAAAGGAAACCAAAATACATTTTGTTTTCTAGTGGGTTATAAGTTCAGTGACAGATAATGAAAATGAAGATGTTAAACAATTTTTAAAAAGTGAGAAAGTCGATTCAACAGAGAAGGTAAGATGTACCAGGTTTTTGTCAAAACTTTTCAGCTCTGGCTGGTCTTCTAGCTTATGTAAATGATGATTGTATATTTTCAAATCTCTTTCTGAAATGCTGAATTCTACAATTAGATAACATAATTGTGAGCAAATGAAAAAGGGATTAATGAAGAGGAATAAAAAACTTAAAGGCAATATTTTTTGCTTAAACTTAAGATAGAAATTCTGATCAACTAAAGCTATGTTATTTTGCACACCTAATTGTATACACTTGAGTAGGAATGTGTTTATTGTGCTGGAATTATAGGGGATTTATTATTACCTATCTCTTAGGGTAAAACTATAAAAAGAAAAAAGGAGTGGTAGTCATCTATAATGATGTCTGTAAAGTACAGTGGTCAAAAAAAGTTCTTACATCATTATTCAAAGAATAGAAATGTATGAATATAGAAGGACCTTGTGCGATGCAGCTGCCCCATCTCAGGATGTCTATTGAAGTCATTGATTTTTTTTAAAAACCTTTCATCCTGGGGCTCATTGTACGTGTTCTTATAGCATTCTCATTTATTTCAGATTCAGCTCTTCAAAAGAGCTAAAGGGATCAAGAGACCCATTTTCAGCTGAATTTTGGTGGAAAGTGACTGTACAGTTTCCTGATTGCTTTGCAAATATTAACTTTAAACCTCTTTTCAAAGGAACCTGTGAAATGGCATTTAGTAGGAACCTTCTTAACTATGTCTGGTTAGTGGGGGGAAAGTAAAATATAAATCATTCATGAGGATGCTGCCTGTGAAATTCTCCATAAAACATAAGTTGTAATTTTCAGTAATGTCTCATTTTATACAAACAGAAATCTCATTATAAATTTCAAATGCCCACAAAGAAAAGCATGTAAAAAGCATATATATACACACACATAGATATATATGTACTATCTCAATTTTTGTTATGCATACTGTTTTTTTTATTCTAATATATTTTATTCTAAGCCAAAATAAAATGTCTGGAATAAAGAAACCTAGATTGATCCTCTAATTCAAGTCTGTAACAATTATGTTATCTAGCATTAGTAGCACAGGTTCAAATTTATTTATGTACTCAAAACTCAGCATGCTACATGATAGAAAGAAGAGATAGTTTACAAAGGAGTGCCAAAACACAGGCTCAGACAAACCCAAAATACAGTGCAGAACCATGAAATATACCTAAGGGTGGCTCTGATAAGCCTATGGTGATGGCATACAAGCTTGAAGAACTATAGTTTGAGAACTATACATGCACACATATATCAATTAACATGTATACAGTTATGTTTCGTTCTTTGACATGCACTCCTTTTCACCCCACTCTAATCGGGGAAATATTACCTCTCATTTCTCAAGCTCTTCTTAATCTTCTTCAAGATTAAAAGTTCTAAGAAAGCCTTGACATCATACTGTTCACTTACTCTCTGAATATGGCATTAAAACTCCGATATAGTATAAGGATCTCCATGGTCACAGTTTTTCCAGTTCTTGAATTGCTTATGCGAGACTTTGGAAAGATTGGAATTGGTGGCTGTCACAAGTTTTCACCTGTGCCTATGAAGAAGCCTAAATTGTCACCATAAAAATGTGACCAGCTCACTACCAAGGACATAGACAATGGATGTTTTAGGACAATTGGGAAAATTCTGGTTGCCATTAAGTCAGAAAAATATAATGGCAATCTGTAGATATGGAAAAAATAATTTTATATTGAGACATTTATGAAAAGGAGCAGGCAGAATTATAGCTGAATCATATTGTATTTGTTGATATTGCCTGTCTCGTTTTTCCCTTGAGAATACTGATTTTGTAAAGTTTGCCCTGAAGGCAGTTCACCCGAGGCTTGCAAATACGATCCTTAAAAAAATTTCTTGCATAAACACCACATGCATCTGCTCAATAGAAGCTTTTTCATCCAGAACTTCTTGGTTTATCTGTCATTTATAGTTTTAATTTAAGTCCTCAAGGATGATGTTTAGTTTTCAACTTAATGAGCATCATTATAGCAGCTTTACATAGTAAAAGGGCATATAAAGGCAAGAAAGCATCAATAATTACATTTTACATCATGCTAACAGCTCTGTTGGGACAGACATGTATATAAAGAAAGATGGTCTAGGTGTTTAGGAGAAATTTAGGAAGAGATTATAAAAGTACACAGAAGGGGTTTTTATTAAAAAAATATGTATTCTAGCAAATAGCATATATCAAATGTGTTGGTTTATTTTGCTATTGGAAGACAGTTTATAATTTATCTCTCCTAAGGTTCGAGGTGAATTACAAGCCAGTTTGTTAGCTTTATATAAATTTATCATATATTTTTGGACAATGGAGGTAGAGAAGAAATCATTATACTAAAAAATGTAGCAAATGCAGAAAGCCCTCATGCTCTAGACTAACTGGAAAAAATTAATGAATGAGGCAAGTACTATATTTAATAACTTGATTGAATTTTGAACTCTAACACAGAACTTAACGTGGTCATACTTTGGTTAATTTGGTTACTACTTTTAAGAAGAGCAATTACTTTTGGGGACTCTTGCATTGAAGGAAATTAATTCAGTACAATTTTCTTTTATCAGTATTGTATGATACAAGAGTGCAAGGAGCATTATGTTACTTAATGTCATGTGTTTTTTATTTCCCCCAGCAATTATCTTTTTCACAGTCTCTGTTTGCTCTTTACTAGAAAGTTATAGCAGTGTATTTCTGTGTATGGAACCCAAGTCAACTGCGGTAGACTTTTGTTTAATAGCAGTGCAGTAATCTGAAAGTTTTATTAGTTTCCTCTGGGGATCTGTGCATTCAGTAGGGACAGGCCATGGTGATTTCAGGAGAGAGATTATTTTCAGACCCATTAAGTATTCCTGAGCAGAAGTTATTCCTTGAAAAATGTTTGATGTCATTTTTGTCTTTGTTATGTTTTGCCTGTTTCATTAATTCCATGTAGGTCTTTTTAAAACCCAGTTTCAGGAGAGCACGTGATCCTATAAAATTCATTGACTAGGTTCTCAAAATATAAAAGTGGGCAAACCTATGATTATGAGCATAAATTCATTTGTACAGGAAGTTGCACAAGGAACTCATAGCTCTGTTTTCGCTACTGCATGTGCTTCTCACTGAAAACAGCAGATAGTTGATAGCAGTAGAACAATGAGATACAGTTCAGATCAGCCTAGATTAATTAATGGGATACAGTGGAGAACCTTCCTGAATTCCTGGTAAACTGCCCTAGTTCTTGACAGTTTATGGGCAATAATTCTCTACCAGTCCATATGACAGGTTGACCTGTGTCACAATTCTGGGAAAAGGAATGTGAGTCAGTAGGACCTATAAGTCTCCAGGTCTTGGTATTTTCTGATCATGGACAGTATTTTAAGATTTGCAATGTCTAAAAATGCTAACCCTTGAGCTGGAGCAATTTTACTGTAGGATTTCTGTCATCTGAAACTTGGGGGAAGACAGCATGGTTAGAGCATTCAAATTTTTGATCACAAAGGCAAGACATTGACAATTGTGGGAAAATTCTCTATAATTAGAACTTGGCTCATGGCCATAAAATGGGATGCCTGGAAGACATATTTCTGCTCTTTTCCAATTTAGCTGAGCTGCAATGAGTACAAGAAGCACGTTTAATGTTGTTAACTTCTTGGTTTAGTGCTTCTGAAATTATCAGGATTCCCATTTTCAAAAAGCTTTCCTCCATTGTAATTAGATTAAGGCTGAAAATCAGATATATTTTTTTTTCTTAACCAGATCCGAAAATAAGTTCAGATTGGTTTCAATTTGTATGGTAAAAATCTGACTTAATCTTATTTTTGGTTACTAATTTCTAATTCAATAGGAATCCTATATATATATATATAAAGTAAATAGATTCTTCTGATATGCACACCTTTATTCAACCATTGTAAAAGCATAGAAAAAGATATTTGGGAAAGAAGCTTTTCCTCTCATGCTACTTTTCCTTTACATAAATGGAATTTCAGCTAATACCTGGATCCAGTGGGAAAAAATAGTTTTCTTTGATATACTGGGTTGTTTTTTTTTGCTTCAGAACAAATGGCAGCCATTGTTTAAAAAATTAATGGTGTAAAAGAAAAACAAAGGAAAACTTTAAACAGTCCCTCTAGGCAAATGACATGAAAGACTTCTGCAAATAGCACACGTATCTACCAGTGATGAATCAAGACCTTATTGGCTTGTATCTTCTTTTGATTTGCTAACTACCATTGGGCTTCAGTGTACAGCTTTTAACTGTATTTGAAAGATCTTTACCTTGTACTAGTTTTGTGTGCGAGTTAATCATCATTCTGTGTTGTTCAGCATTTTACCCCACAGTGACATTGTTTTAGATTACTGCATTTTGAAGATGAGGAATGAAAAATTAAAGGGGCAAAAATATATGTATAGATATTCTTGGTCAGCTTGCACCTGTTACTGAAGCAAAGACAGTTTTTATCTTTATACAGCTGCACTCTAATAAAATACGACAAAATGTGTTCAATTAAGTGGCACCCTGCAGAGTCCATCTAAGGCTACAAGCAATTTATTTCTTTACAAAATATAGTGGGAAAATTATAATCACTCACCCCCAATTTTTCTTCTTTTGCTTGAAAAGAAAAAAGAAAAAAGCTACAGTTTTTGTCCATAAACTACCTTCCAGTTCGAAGTTCAGTTTGTTAGGTCGTTACAGGCTAGTTGTACCAAGAACCAAAATCTTTTTAATTTAAAGCTCTATGGATTCAAAGTGTGCCTATTTTTTGTGAATTTAGCTAAAGAATTTTTCTTTGTAAAACATCAGCAATCTAAAAATGTTTTTAGCAATGATAAAATACCAAGTGCATAAATTTCAATAACAAGCTACCTTACTCCTGAAGATTAGGTATATGAACAAATAATACTTTAGGTTTTGTATTTGGTCTCTTCTGTGTTGGGGGTCCTACAGCAATATACAACATTGTTGAACCCATTTCTGCAGTTCAGAATGCAGAAAATTAGCTACAACTTACATTTATTCATTAGATTTTGGTGGAATCAGACTCTGGGAATCACTCAGTAGGAGACAGTATTTGGTTTGTCAGCTTGGCGTTTGACCTCTTTCTGTTCCTTATTAAGTATTTAGCCTTTTCATTCATCTTGTGTAATATGGGGTCAACAGTGTACTCTAGAACTTGAAGTCCTGATGTAGCATTTAGTCTTTCATAATTTATTTTTCATTTCACAGGGATCACACTCTACAGCCAACCATATGGAGGAGCCTTGCTGGATGAGGACAAAATGTGAGCAAACTCTTAAAGTATATAATAGCCGCAATGAGCAGACAATTGAAACTATTAATTCAATAAACATGTATGTTGTATGCAGTAGACGTTATGACTTAATAGATGCAATTCAGTTCCACTGACTGAAGTATTTTGTCTAGTCTGGTGTTTATATGTCAAGTCTACTGTTTATATCAGATATAGTTGCATTATTTTGTAGAGAAAAATACTGATTTTATGCTGACTACACTTTACAGAGTGTTTGTGAGCAAGTCATGATGTTTTCAAACAGGTTAACTGCTTTAAATTATTGTCAAGTTTTTCAATTTTAATCTTCTCTAGAGGGGGAAATATTTACAGCAGCTTCATTTTACTATTCAGACTTTAAACACACACTGGATTCTGTAACTCTATAGTTTTGTAACTTAACACATTATCTTGCTCCTGTTTTCTAATTAGATGTTGACAGTGTACAAACATGGTATTTGCAGCAGGATGAAGGTCCTAATGTCTAGTGTTGTTTTGGTAGGAAGTTGGTCTTGAAAATGTTGGGGTATGGTGAGCTATTTTTCCCCTCTGTGTTTTCATTTTGCCATTTTGCTTCGTACCCTAGAATGGAGAACGTTCGTCAGTGTGGGGTAGCGCTGTGTATCATGCTGGGTTTCTCCATCCTCACCGCATCCATTGGAAGTGCTGTAGTGAGAGACAGAGTATCTGGCACAAAACGCTTGCAGCACATCACAGGCCTGGGTTACACAACTTACTGGCTTGCTAACTTCTGCTGTGATATGGTATGTATCATGGGGGGAAGCATGTGTTCAAGTGTAAATTTCTAAGTAGCTTGTCATAAAAGAGGAAAAGGAAATATGGTTACAAAACACATGAATAAGGTTTGAATTGTGCAGAACAACAGCTCTTAGATGTCATGTTAACAAGCATTGGAACACCATTTCCACTTTAATTCCGTCAGATAAAATTCTTTAAGGCAAGGATTGTGCTGAATTGTAAGGTAAAGCATATGCTAGCTTTGGGTACCTACACTATTTTACAAATAAGAGGGATCTGGATAATTGGCCTAGACAGAGAGAATCATCCACATAGCAGTTCATAGCAGGAGTTTCTGTGCTTTGAGTTGCCAGTGGCAAAATCTTTCAGATTACTGGAGAAGCCTGAAGATACAATTCAGTTACTTTAAAGACATAATTATATGTTGTCTGTTGGTAGGTAATACGAGAGATACTCCGAATTGGTACCTTTTATTTCTGGCAAGATAGACAGTAGAAGATATTATTTATGAATTCACATACACAGAATGACCTAGATCAGAAACGGGTGAAGTCTCTGTCCTTAACATTTATTTTTCTCACATAAAGTAATTTCTGCCATTGTTAGCATTACAAATAGTATTGTCTGCATGCAGAGCATTAACAAACCTGAATATCTTACCTTCTTTTGATAATATCACAGAAATTATTTTTCCCTGAATCTTACCCTTTTAATCAAATGTAAAGACAGGAATGCCACTGAGACTTGACTTTGGCAGGTTGGATTTAGACCAACACAGATAAATGAAAAAGGATTTTTTGCTTACCTTATTCAAGTCTGAGAAGTTGATTTCTGTTCAGGCCAATAAGCAAAGGTTGTGAAGTAGAATTAACTTTCTCAAGTCACTGCTAGTCCCCATTGGCTGTGTAATGGAACTCATTTAGATTCCATTTAAGCATGAATTCCACACATTATATTCAAATATATTTTTCAAAGGTGACTCTTAAAAAACTAAAATTAAAAATTGCACCATTAGGTATTTGTGTATGTATCTATGTGTGAATATATATATGCAAGGTATACATACACGTCTCTTACTGAAAGGCTTTTTCATAATTCAGTTGTAATAAAGCTTGCTATAACATTAGTTGAGTGTTTGGTGGGAATTTGAGATTAGGTCGTCTACTTCTGGGAAAAGGATAGAATTACTGTTTTTAAAGAACTAGGGCGCTGTACTGTGCTTCTCAAATAAGGTGTTTTGGATTGGAAGATTGGTCTCAGAGGAAACAGTGAATTGGCGTCATCTGGATTATTCCAAAGTGAAAAGATTCCTGGCCTCAGATAAGGGACATAAACTTTCTGCACCTTGCTTGACACATTGGGTCATGGAAGGAAGAGCTGGGATCTAGTATAGGCAACACAAACACGAACTAGCATGGTCAGGAACAGAGATTTTTGGAACACTCTGTGTTCTCATTCAGACTATTCCAAATCTAAAACATTAGAGCTTCACCCATCCATGCTTGAAATCAGGATTTTCACACTTGAGCAAGCTTGAAGTAAGAACACGTTTCCCCAAATGTTATTTACTTGGCCAGTCAATCTTTGTATTCCTTTTTCTGCTGTGTCAGATAAGAGGGCTTGGTTAAAAGCTCGGTCCTTCATCATTCAGTTTCTCCTTGTGTAGCAAAGTCAAGTCCTCATTATTTTCTGCCAATCTCTTCCTTTCAAAATGTTCTCACAAATTCAACACAGTACTGCATGATCAATCATGATCTGGAAAAGAACAGACACTGCTTTAAATGCTAATTGTGCTGCAAGATCATTTAGGGACACTGAACACATGAATATATGAACTGTCAAATTTGAAATCCCTCTACATATTTTAAGTATTACAGGCTGTGTCCTGTATTATTGGTAGCATAATCTTTACTAGACCTGCAGAAGTATTTGATTTATGAAATTGCTGTCATGAGAATCAGGCTGTTCTTACTGTATTTATACATGTGAGTGATATTCTTTACTATGTTTAAGAAATAGAAAAATGTAGAAGTGCTAAGAAAATTTGATGACAAATATAGAAGTTTTGCTCAAATTAAGCTTCTGTCACCAGAGAGGCAAAATTAAAGTTATTTGTGCGTGCCCAACTTTTATAACACACCATGCTTTCAAGTAAGACTTCTAATAGATTTTAATGTTTAGTTAGTTATTTATTTCTAGAAAAAAAAATCCTAGGTCTGTTGGAACATACTGGGACTCAGATGCTTTTTGACTTCCCTACCATATTTTGTTAAACAGCTCTGGGGCAACTGAAAACTAAATCTGTGGAGTGGTATTGTATGATATTTGTATGTGGCACTGAGTAAGGTACAGTGCGAACAATATGAGATTTCACTCCATTGTTCTTATGTTAAAGAAATGCCTGTCTTTCCATTGGCAAAGAAGTGATGTCCTCTGGCTTAACTTTCAACAGGCTTGCATTGTACTTCACTATGAAAGTCCAATTTTAACAGTATGGATATTCCTCTTCTACACTGAATATTTAGCTAGACCTTGATTTGTTGGCTCTATTGCAGTTGCATCTCAGAATCTCAGTTACATTAGGATAAGGTTAAATATTATATAAGTATATAAGTAGAAATGGAGGCAGTCACTGTCCTAACGAGCTCAGCCTCAATGCACAGATCAGGCAAACACTGAGAGGAACTGAGCACAGACTTTCACATCTTGCTGTTGCTAGTTGCAAGCAGAACCTATCTCTCTTGAATACTTGGAGATGCATCCCTCGTACCAATCACATCCTTCCCCCCTTAAGTATTTGGTTACCATTATGTCAAGACAGAGAAACTGATTTCCCTGCTGCCTAATGGCTGTAACTCTTCTAAATATTATGTCTGTTCCCATTAAAAGTTGTCATTTGCTTCATCAGCACACATGGTCCTTCATTAAAGTCTCTTTTAAAATTGTATCCTTACTATTCTCCTATGACTGAAGTACCAATCAGTGAAACTGCTATTTCTGAATCCAAGACTCTGCATTCATAGTATAATTTGATGTTTTGGAGCAATAGTCCCATACGGACTCATTATCTGGAAGAGTTAGCTTGTTAAATGGACATATTGGAAAGGTCAATAGAAATGGAATTAAAGGGAATATTCTGTAGTCAGATTTTATTTTGTCGGCATGTTTCATGTGTATGGTGTAAGAGGGGCAGTTTCACAGCAAGTGAGGACTCTGAAATCTCAGAGTCCTCTTCCCAATTTATAGTGTAATTATAATGCAAATATGGAAAAGTTAATTTGTAGAGCCCTTCTATGCTAATTAAGCAAGACCAATAAGAGATGCTTACCTGCTAAGTGCCTTTTTTCTTCTGTTTCTAGCTGTTTTACATGGTTCCAGTCACCCTGTGTGTTGGTGTTATTAGTGCCTTCCAGCTATCAGCCTTCACTTTCCGAAAAAACTTGGCAGCCACTGTTCTCCTGCTGATACTCTTTGGGTATGTGATTGGAAATGCTACTATGGAATTATAGCTTCTAAGAAACAAACAGAAATCTTTAGACTTGGTTTGCACCTGCTGCTGGATGCATGATTTTCTCTCTTTGGGAATGATTATGATTCAGCAAAAGATGGTGAGAAAGCAGGCTGGAACATGAGTTGGAAACTTACACGCGGAAGGTGGAGGGAGATTTGCTCACACATGTGGGAAAAAAGAAAAAAAAAAGACTGGAAAGTCTCAGAAAATATTCAGCCTGTATTGCATAACAACCAATTGCTGCTAGAAGTTGATTGATTGTTATCTTCCAGAAAAGGAGGGAATAATAGCACAGTGAAATCTGAATTTCAGTGCTAGTGCTTACCTGTGCAGAATATCATCAAGAAGGTAGGAAGAGGCTGTCTTTTATTAGAGTTCTAAACATTTTCTGTAATTCTGTAATTTTGAACATTGAGTATTGGGATGGTTAGAGACTTGTCTCCAAATAGTACTATGAGAGAGGGGGAAGTCATCCCATATCACCCTCTTGCTTAGTTTCACTTGAAAAAACAGTTATAAAAAGTTAAAATAACTGGTCAGAGGATTGATTTCTCTGTAAAAATAGAGCTGCTGAGCCCTGGGCTCAATCAAACTAATGGTCTGTCTATTCTGTTCCTTTAACTCTTCCTGTATGCAGTCCCAGGTGATGGAAGAAATGCTGAAGATAAATAGTTATAGGATAAGATGTCACAAATGGAGTGATGCCCTTCACTCCTAAGAGAGAAGTAGCAATATATTTAGTGATATAAAACAGCAATTTAACAAAATTTGATAGTAAATGAAACTGGTTCAACAGGATTTGATGGCAAAGTACACTTGCTACAAAACTGTCAGCAAGACCCTACTGATGAGTCATGAGGTTCAGAGAAGGACCCCTTTGTTTTCTAAACCCCTCCTCAGAGAGGAGTCTAGGTCTGGCTGGATCCAGTCTTAGTCCCAGACGTGGTCAGTGGTGTATGTCTAAAGCATTATATCTGCACAATTGATGTAAGATATCATCTTAGTGAAGCATGCAAGTTTATCAAGCTATTAGTCTTTTACCAAGGATCTGTTGTGGCAAGGAATCTCAAGCTTGAGGAGTAACCTTGAGAGGCTTCCCTATCCAAGGGGAGATCCTGGTGTGCAGCCCACTGCTCTGCAGGAGAGCTCAAAGGGCTCTTGAATTATTCACTACTTATAGGGGTAAGATAATAGACTCATAATCACATTGACATATCAACCACAGTATCAGTACTGTGGTTGGGTGGGCATGTTGATCAAGTCAGCCTGTTGTTGCCTGTCTCCCCTGAATCGACTTTGAGCCATCATGACCAGATGCACCTATTATGACCACCACGGGTGGTTATTGCTTGGGCAGGGTTACGGGAGATAAAGGTCAGGCTGGGCAGGGGAGGGGCATATGTGCTCACATAAGCACCCTGAGCAGAAGTTTCTTCGTTATTTCAAGCAACTAATTGTTGCTATCTTTGTAGGGGGAAATGCATATCTTATGAGTCAGATGTTTAGATAACTGCTCCAATGAGAGAATCAAAGGATCTTCTGCAAGATTAGGACGTGTTCCATTCCAGGAAGAGTATCAGATAAACACTTTAAAAAAAATTTACTATATTTAATCTTGAAACTGTTTTCAAGATTTTATGTCTCCAGCAACTCCTTTTTTGGCAGACTGTTTCAGTATCTCCTTATTTGGATGTATTCTTATAAACCCCAGCCTAAGTTTATTCACTTCATGATTCTCCCTCATAAAATATCTTTTACAAGCCCAAACAAGCTGGGTCCTCTCTTGTGAAAAGGCCTTTCCATTCCCTGGGTAATTCCATTAATCATTTTCCCCTATAACTTCAGTTTGAGCTCATCTTTCCTGGGTATGAGTGGTCAGACTAGTATGTAATATTCTAGAGATCATGATGCCATGATCCTGTAATTAAGTCAGATGAAACATCCAAAATTCATAATTTTCTTTTCTTTTCTCATCTTCCTCCTTCTTCCTTCTATGCTACTACCAATTGATTCCCTCAAGTTTAAGGCAGAAAATCTTAGTCTTCATGCAAAGACTTTATACTACTAAATCTCATTCCTGTTTAGTTTTTTTTAATTACCTTTACAACTATTGAATCCTTTTTATAATCCAGTTGCCATGACCCTAGTGTAAGAATAGCCATCTATATAGAGATCTTAGTCAAGCAGCATGTGACCTATATAGCACAGTACATACTTGTACATCTGAAGTCATGAATGTTTTCTGTGGTGTGCTATAGGCTTTGGTCCTGCTCACAGTGTAATCCCAGGTGCAAAGAGTTATGCTGGAATTGTTTTAACCAAAGCGTTGAGCTAAAGTTTGGGCATTCCAGAAGAAGCAAGCATTGACTGAAAAGCTGGACTGTCTTCTAAACAGTTTTTCTGTTGACTGCAGATGCAGCTTAATCATCTGAGCATAAACCCTCCAGTACATTCATTTTGGCTGACATAAAAAATATTATAGTGATTTGTAATGAGAGGGTCTATGTATTCGATGTGTATTCATATGTATTAAAGATACAATAACTGTTAGTAAGTTTAACATGTCTCAAGGGCACAGAGCTGCCACTCTTCCTATTGTACTCTTTACTCAACCCGACTACAGAGTAAATGTGATGAAGCCTATTGCAGTCATTTTATCCTTCCCCAACACTGTGCATGTAATTCTCATTTATCTGCATTCCATAATGCATTTTTTCCTTTTAAAATGTTATTTTTCTCTTCAGACTACACTTGTGCAGCATTTCTGATCTAGAATAAAGATAAAAATAGCTCAGTTATATGGAAAAGTTAAGCTATGTGCCAGAAGGGGGTGAGTTTGAAAGAATAATCAACAATTTCCTAGTATGCTACTTTAGAACTGATTTCCTTTAAAAAATATAACGGTCTCCTAACTAAATTGCAGGTTTTTTTGACTCTTTCAGCTGATAGCAAAAGTGTTTTATAGTGCAACTGCTTAAGCGCTTTTGTCCAAAATGCTCTATCTTTGATACTTAAAGTAACAAATTGCAGCTGAAGCTAAAGGAAGAGAAAGAGGATAGAAATGTAGGCATGACTGGCAGTTACTTTAAAGCCTGTGTTTGAACGTCATAGAGCTTTAGTATTCCAGAAGTCTTACTCCTTTCTTAGCAGCTATAAGCAAACAAATCAGATTTTGCTTTCATTTACAGCAGAGTAACAGCACTCTAAATCATGTCTCTTTCCTGTGTTGTTTCCAAGGATGGACTTGTCTTGTATTTACAGTATTGTAATTTAGAGCAAAATGTAGAACGGTGATTTTGGGATGTGCCTGAAAGGAAGAAAAGGTTGTGTGGTTAGGACTGGAAACAGGACCCTGAAATGTACAGTATAATCTTGACTACTTAAAATCTTCATTTGAGACCCAAACATTAAGTCATTTAATCTTTATCTTCCTCTAAAGTGAGGATAACAACACTATTACTTCACAGCAGGATTTGAATGTTTAATTTTTTAAGGTAAAGGATTTTGGCATTCTTAGATGAAAAAAAGTTCAACTGTAAAGTACACAATACTGAATTTAAAAGGGAATTTTATGGCTTATAATTGAAACTACCATTTAATGCAATGAAGAAGTGAATTCACATATTTTTTGGCTAGTTGCTCTGACATTGAGCTCACTATTAAAACAATTATATATATTAATACTATATAAGAAGTATTTATATATACATCTGTATATATATACTATATATATACTTATGATCATGCAGTGGTGTATGCTGACACCTATGACCCTGCAGCCTATATACTGTTTGTTTGATAGATATGTCTTGTGCTATGTTGAAAGGAAAATACGTTTCCTTTACATGACATTCATGTTCATCAAATTGCATGGGCATTTTTTTAGTCTGGCTAGACATAGCTTATTCTTTATAAAATAAATGACTGCTCCACTTTGGATAGGAGACATTTGACTTGCCAGAATGGATGTTGCCTTCCCTTCTCCTTTAAAGATTTGCCTTGAAAATGGTGTGGTTACAGACATGCTGCATTATCATCATTGTGATATGAAGTATGCACTCATTTTTGATGCGTACTACTCTACTAGATGTTAACTTGGTTTAGGTAATAACAATGCTAACGCCATCTCTGGCAAATTTCAGTTCTCAGATATCACTGGCACAAATTTTAATTCCAGTTCTAGGATTAATGCTTTCTTTCCCTTTTCTTCTTTCCCTTTTCTTCTTTCCCTTTTCTTCTTTCCCTTTTCTTCTTTCCCTTTTCTTCTTTCCCTTTTCTTCTTTCCCTTTTCTTCTTTCCCTTTTCTTCTTTCCCTTTTCTTCTTTCCCTTTTCTTCTTTCCCTTTTCTTCTTTCCCTTTTCTTCTTTCCCTTTTCTTCTTTCCCTTTTCTTCTTTCCCTTTTCTTCTTTCCCTTTTCTTCTTTCCCTTTTCTTCTTTCCCTTTTCTTCTTTCCCTTTTCTTCTTTCCCTTTTCTTTCTCTCTCATCATTCTATCCATCCTTTTTTGTTCTCTTTTCTTTCTATAAAAACCTCTAAGAAAAGCTGATTGCTCAGTATCTATGATTTAAGCTTCAGATATTTTGTTTGAATTCTATCTCTTTGTTAGAGGCTTGTTGAGATGTGTGGTTTTGCAATCATTCAGAGATCAGGGTTGTGAAACTCCTTGAACAGTGAAAGTAAATATATGCAGTTGATATATGCAAAAATGGATCATATCTGCCCATCACATGGCAGTAGCTCTGTGCATGTCTACAGAATCATAAGGTAATTTGACAAAGAATATATATCCTAAATATCTCCTTTGTTGTTAGTTGGTGAAAAGAGTTATTTGCATATCTTAAAAATGAGTAACTATTGGGTTTTTTCTAGTATGATAGTTGCATTTTTTTTTTTGTGATGCCACAACATAACTTATTTGTGATAATTTTGTTTCTTTAACTTTCAGATATGCAACTTTGCCATGGATGTATCTTGTATCCAGATTCTTCTCAAGTTCAGATGTAGCTTTTATTTCTTACATCTCCTTAAATTTTGTGTTTGGCCTGTGTACCATGCTGGTGACTCTCTTGCCTCGTTTGTTAGCTATAATTTCTAAAGTGCAGGTCAGTATAAAACTTTGCTTTATGTTACTTGGAAGGGAGAAGCATGCATACACGTCCATGTGTGTATATGTTTCTGTATACATATATGTATGTTTACAGACACACAAGGACAATTTTTTTTCCAGAAGAAAAACTTGTGTTTTAAACATTCGTGATTTTTCTGTCCTAGTGTATACTGTATTGCTTGTTACCATCTTGAATTTTAACTTGTTCATAACAAAAAAATTAAATACATAAAAAAATCATGCTGTAATAATGGAAAAACAGTGCTAATTGAAACCTTGACATTTTCCAGACCATTAAGTTGTAATTGGCACGTAATGGGAGCTGTTCTAGTCCATTGAATAGATTATATGCATTGTAAAATGTGTTTGAATAATATTGACATAAGAGATAAACCACATATTCCTAGGATCTGTAATGCACTGTATGAATAGTAATATGCATTCTCACTCCATGTATGTAATTTTCATTAGTCATAATGGTCATTAAGCAGTTTGATGGAGAGGAGATTCAGAATGTGTATGAATATCTGAATATCTCTGCATGTACCAGGTCAAAAACTTGATGTTTGAAGTCAAATCTATATTGTATGTCACTCAAGTTTGGAGGGAGATTTGTTGTTGACTTGGGTTGAAGTTGATGATTTAGAATTAATTGCATTCAAATATTAATTTTTTAAGAAAATGAAATGATCATTACCACATCTGTTTTGTTACTATCTGTGAATCTCAACTAAAATTAGAACCCCATGGCCCTAAACATTCTAAAATGCAGTAAGTGATGAACCCTGCCCCAAAATAGTTCACAATATACTTTTCTGATATCAGTTTACCTTGACGGAAAGCTGAATGCTGTATCCAGCTATGTAACTGTGCTTAATGTGCTGTTGGAGAAAGCTAATTTTTTCTTTCTTATTTTTTCCCTCCCCCTGCCCGTTTCTGATTCTTAATACAGAGTTTTCAAAACATCTACAATATCCTCAAATGGGCATTCATTGTATTCCCACAATTCTGCTTAGGCCAGGGTTTAATAGAACTTTCGTACAATCAGATCAAGTTTGACCTGACCAGCAACTTTGGAATAGATTCGTATGTGAGCCCCTTTGAGATGAATTTCCTGGGATGGATTTTTGTGGAAATGGCTCTACAGGGAACACTACTACTTCTTTTACGGCTTTTTCTTCATTGGGATCTCCTTCAGAAAGCAAGGTGTGTTACCATTTGTATTCTGCCATAGTGGACACTGAACTAATTTTTAAAGAAAGAAAATGGTGGATTCCTTTGAACACCTGAAGAAAAATGCTTCTGATAACATGGTGTACCTGAATTAGTAGACACTGCAGAAAAAATACAAGTAGTTGCTGTGTCCCTTGGAGTCTGCTGAGATTTGATCGCCAGGCTTTAAGGGACTGCAACCAGGGAAGTAAAGCAGAGTTATTCAGAGTACAGCAATGTCCAATTTGCCACGTGTCATTTGCTATCAACTTCTGTTTTAGGGGTCAGTGTTCAATTAACAGCATGGTTAGCCCTTCAGAAGATGTTGATGTAGAAATGGAGCGACAGCGACTCTTTGGTGGAAGAACTGGTAATGATGTCCTCCTCCTGTACAACCTCAGGAAGTGTTATGGAGGTTTCAGTAAGAAGAACACAGCTGTGGAAAGCATAAGCTTGGGAATACCAAGGGGAGAGGTACTGAGGTCTTTTTTTTTTTTTTTCCTTTTAGAAAATATCACTTCATTCTGAGCAATTAATTGTTCAGACATAATGAGGATCTCTACAATCAAAGATCTGTAGGTAGCAGTAGAACAATTTCAATTATAGTAATTTCTGAAAATCAGTAGCTGGATAAAACCAGAAGCTGTGGTGCTGTTTAAAAAGCAACTGTTTACTTATTTTTTGGGTTACAAATTCATCAGAGTCTTGATTTTTTATTCTTCCTTATCTTTCCCCAGTTACTGTTTATAGGCTAACATAAAAAACAAGTAGATAACGTAGCAGTTCAACGTCTGAGGAGAAAGCAAGGAATACCTAGCTCAATTGTAAACTGATTTGCTGATAGCAAATTCAAAGATATGAGAAACTAGTGCATGGCAGCACAGGTCCAGTGATGTCCTATAGATCAGTTGTTTAGTAACTGGGGTAATTAGGAGGATGTAATTGCTGATTAAAGCCTATTTATCAATAAGAATGTTTCACGAAACAAGTATTTTTAAGGTTATAAAGTGCTATATGTAGACTTAATATGAATCCTGTCCTAGCTTAAACATATTTTCATTGCAGCCAGGGACCTGAAATAACTGTTCAGAGGCAGTGTGCGTCTTGGCTGTTCAGTGTTCATTTACTTATACAGAGTGAAGCACCTCATGAGAAATAGAGAAATATTGACTCTACAGACTGGTAGTCAGGGCTCTCAAATAGAGCTTGAGATCCTCTGGTTTAAATCTAGCATTTACTAATAATATGGATAAATAATTCATTTAGTTATTGGGCAGGGTTTTAAGTGGAGGGCTATCATAAATAAGTCATTCTTAGGAACTAGGGGAAATCAAATATTATATATATGGGGTTTTTGAAAACTTTTTTTCTATGGGAAAGGGAAAGCATATCCATATGCAGTATCTTACAGACATATAATAAGAAATATGAAAAAGGAAGAAGCTGTTGAAACATTAATATTACTTATTTCTTTCAGCATAGCAGATTGATCGCTTTTGCCTTTTTTTTTTTTTTTTTAAATCTGTGTTAGTGTTTTGGACTTCTGGGAACAAATGGAGCTGGGAAAAGCACAACATTTAAGATGCTGACTGGAGATATTACCCCATCTGCAGGACGTGCTGTTATCAGGACTCCTACAGGGTAAATAACACAGGGTTTGATCAGAATAGCGCTAATTGATAATGCCAGTGATCAAAGACTCAACACATCTTCAGTCCTTTATTCTGGACTCTAAGGACCTTTTTAGTTCCCTTTTAAATGTATATTGCTTTATTGCTGTTAAGTCTCTGCAGGAAAGCACTTTAACATTACGTAATTCTACCTGACAGCTCTGTTAATTGAGAATAAACTTGAATAGTAGCAAAAGAGTATGTTCCAGGAAGCCTTAACACAGTCTTTTATAATTGTAACAAAAATCTTAACATACAGTATGTCCAGATACATGAACATATATCCCCATACCAGTGCTGCACTGAAAAGTTTCCAGTCTTAGGCTGATGAGCAGTGCTTCAATTAGATAATTTTAAAATGTTTTCTGACACTTATAGCTTTCAGAGTTATTAGTTAATTTTTTGATCAATATGTTATGTAATTAGTCTAGGAGGTAGTGCTGGTGCTATTGAGGCTAACTTCGATGGGGTGATAAGTAAATAATGGACTTTTTGGGTTAGAAGTAACCAACATTTACCTTTTTTCCCAGCAAAATTGGAGGAGGAAGTACTTATTTTTTAGTCAGGCCAAAGTAAAATGTATATGTGTATATGTCCTGCACTTGCGTCACAGCAATCCCATGCAATGCTACAGGCTTTGGGAAGAATGGCTGGGGAGCTGCCTGGCAGAAAAGGACCTGGGGGTGTTGGTCGACTGTCAGCTGAACATGAGCCAGCAGTGTGCCCAGGTGGCCAAGGCGGCCAACAGCATCCTGGCCTGTATCAGGAACAGTGTGGTGAGTAGGGCTAGGGAAGCGATCGTTCCTTCATACTCAGCACTGGTGAGGCCCCACCTTGAGTACTGTGTCCAGTTTTGGGCCTGGTCGCTACAAGAAATGACACTAAGGTGCTGGAGTGTGTCCAGAGAAGGGCAATGAAGCTGGTGAGGAGTCTGGAGAACAATTCTTTTGAGGAGTGGGTGAGGGAGCTGGGATTATTCAGCCAGGAGAAAAGGAGGCGAAGTGGAGAGACCTTATCACTCTCTACAACTACCTGAAAGGAGATTGTAGAGAGGTGGGGGTTGGTCTCTTCTCCCAGGTAACAGGTTTGTCCTATCTCCCAGACAGGACAAAAGGAAATGGCCTGAAGTTGTGCCAGGGTAGATTTAGACTGGATATTAGGAAAAACTTTTACACTGAAAGGGTTATTAAACATTGGAATGGGCTGCCCAGAGAAGTGGCTGAGTCACCATTCCCTGGCTATATTTGAAAGATGGGTTGACATAATGCTTAGTGACATGGTTTAGTGGTGGTTTTTGTCAATGTTCGGTTGCTGGTTGGATTAGATGGTCTGAAACATCCCTTCCAACCTAGAAAACTCTATGATTCTATATAAATGTATAATGGGCTAGTTAAAAATTGTAAAACTTCTCTTTTCCTAAATTATGTCTATTTCAAAATATGTGTTTTGGAGAAGGATAGATGAAGGGTTTAAATTTTTAAAGGAAGCATTTTGGAATTTCCAAAATGACAAGTTATATTTCTTCAGTTTAGAAATTAAATGCTTTCATATGTCAGTATTTTCTCACTCCTTTACAAAGACAATGATCAGCAGATTTAACTTCAAATGTAAGTAGTTTCAGTAATTTCAACATTTTCTGGAACTTCTTTTGAAATGAACACCATCACTACTACGAATCAGGATTTTACTTAAGTGTGTTTTATTTGATTTTGTCATTATCTTTCATAAAAACTTTTTCAAGAGATTCAGTGTAAAAATAATTTGATAACAAAGAACTCCTGAACTGACCATCAAATAATTATTAATCAAGAAGAAAGACAGACTAAAGAGATTTTGGAAAAATGATTCCTGAGAGAATAAAAAGTGATATGAGTAAGGCTATGCAGTGGTTACAGAGACTTTTAGATTATTGTTTTCATTTATAATTTCCCAGAACAGAATACAAAAATGTTCAGATAGTAAGCAACATCAATGACAATAACAGAAGAGATTTAAAATTAGGTAAAAATTAATTTGGAGTTCTTTGGAACTGGTGGATATCATGGCATTTAGAAGTTTAGCATGAGTCTGAAGAATATTTGAGATTTACAGAAATAAAATAGTCTGCAATAATTTTTTACAAGATATTGCCTTCAAGGCAGTATTTATGCGCCCAGGTTTTGTTTTGGTTTTGAGGGATCTTTTTCTATAGATTTTAATAGAACTTACCATTGGTCCCACCCATTGATTCATGGATTGCATATTGCTCTCCCTTTGCAATGTGGTACCAGATCTATATTTGGGAAATGATTTGATCTGATAATACCAAAATTTTAATATCCACTTGAAAACAAATATAAAGTTATGAGAATATATGTCATCATCCCATGTACTGGCACTTACGCTATGTTTATTGATTACATGGCTTTTTTTATAGCAACTCCTAAAGATAACTCTTTGAAAAATCACAAAACAATTTACCAATGCCTGTATTCCTTTTACTAGATATGATGTTAGGTACCTATGACTAAACAGATAAAAATTCTTCTGAGGTCTACTTTAGTATGCTACTGGCATTTAACAGTAGGTTAAATGTTCTTTGCTACTTTTGTTTCCCCCGCTGTGTTTTATAAATCCAACATGGAAGCATACTTTAAGATGCAAGTTTATTTGCCATGTACTAAAATAGGTAGAGAAAATTGATACATTGAAGATGCTCAAGGGGAAGCCTTAGAAATTTGCATTTAAGTGTCCAAAATACCCTTCCCAACATTAATTATCACCCTGTATCATGGTGGTGTCCATCCGGTTTATGGATTTTTATGTGCTTGAAGTGGCTGAAGTGAGTGTAAAACCCATATTCCAAAGTTTTCAAAACTTATCACTAACTTGAGAAGGCAACCTCAAGCAAGAGCTGCAGTTACACAGTACCTAAACTTGGGGAAACAAACAACTTCAAAGCTGGGAGAAGAGGATTATGTCATTCATGACTTTGTTCCTTGCTTCATATTTTGGCATCTGCTGTTAAGCCGATGATGTGCCCTGTGTTGCTCTACTACTGAAAATCACTAGGGGGCAAATTCGTTGACACTTCCGTAGATAAGATTATAAACACAATAGGTCTGGAGAACCCTTCCTCAAGAATCACTAAAGTTACTCATCCCAGGGATTTTTACGTGGATTGATTTGTATTTACACCTGAGATAAATGAAGGAAGGGGGATATCATGGTAAGAAGTCTTCTCCTTTTCATACTCCAGTAGTGTGCTCAAAAGCCTGGTACTCCTTGCAGAGAGGAAGAGAGGAGAGTCAGCTGAAGAAAGCAGTTGATTGTCACAGCTGCAAACCATTTGCTGCACAGCAGATCTAGATTTCTGTGTTTAAAATCTGTGTTGTGAAGCTGCTTCCATAGAGACATTACCTCTGACAGTGATGGCTGATGAATAATTTGGGCAGCATCTTAGATGTAGATCCCATCTCTGTTGGGTTGAACTTGTCCTCTGTGACCCTGAAAGGATAAGTTACTATAATCTGATGGATCCTTCATGATGCATGATCCTTTCATGATGCAATAAGGAAATGAGTATGTAAAATTATTATAAATATTGGACAATGTAGCTGATGTAAATCCATGTAGAAAATCCTTAATTCATAACAGTTCTTGTTTCCTTGAGTAACTACATGTGAAAGTTCCTGGTTTTAACAAACAGAACAAAAACCCCCAAACAAAACCACATATACATTTTCCTGATTGCTACTGTAATTGTCTCACTGAATTTAAAATGAAGTCAGAAGTGTCTCTTTGAGGCAGGTGCACTGAAAAAGATCTTGAGTTTTACATAGAGCTTTTGTACCTGTGGACAACACAGAGGGACTAGAAATGGAAGATGAGCTTTGAAAAAGTGCATGTTGAATTGCAAAGCAGAATTTTGGGAAGTTCAACCTGAAAGATCTTGGAGGTGCATGGGGTTATATAGAAAGTGTCTCACACATTGATTGTAAGTAGTATTCAGGGAACTCCTGCTAGAGTCTCAAAGAAAATAAGAAAAATGCACTTCTGAGCTGCCTTTTTCACAGAGTAGAAGAGCAGATTCAAAGTATCTTCAAGTACTTCTAAAAGATTCATTGGCCTCTAGGTTATTTGTTTGTTGAATGTTTAATACCACAAAAAAAGGAGCTTATTCCTAAGAACCTGAGAGAAAACTGTGTTTTCATAAAAGCTTAGTAAAGTGCATAAGAGGTAGATGTTATGTAACAGTTTTCAAAATCACTGAGATTCATAAAATGGAGTGCTATTAAGCAGGAATGTTCATTAAATAGTAGAGCCAACTTCATCTCTTCTGCAAATCAGGGTTTCCTGGCATTCTTCTTGATGGGGGCATTCTTTTAGGAAAGAGAAGGCTTCTGACCTGTTTTTATTAAGCTTTTCTCTTTTTGATACACCACGAATTAAACAGATATTTTAAATGCACTATGTGCCTCCTAAACTTTGTATCTTACCATTTACATGGAAATTGCACATTTATAGTATACAAGCTGAGCAGTCTACCAAAACCCTGGTTTTTAAATTTTTTATTTTATTTCATACCCTTCTGCAGATAATGTTTTTAGGCAACTTCTAACCTTTGCAATCCTGTTCTGGTTGTAACTGTGATGTGATGAAGATGGTCCAGGAAAAGACATGATAGGAATTTATCACTAACAACAGCAAGTCTTGTGAAGATAATAGCAAAATTCCATTCACTTGGGTTTTGCCTTTTTTATTATTTTGTGTACTTCATTAACATTGCTATTATCAGTGATACATCTGTCCAAATGAAATAGAAATATAATTATCATATAGACAGTGCATCTCCATGTTAGGGATATTAGCAGCCCCAATATTAAAGAGTGCCACAGGAAGAAGCAGCATCGAAAGAAACAGTTACTTGGGAAGATGTGGAAATAAAATACTGATACTGAAGTAACAGCAGTCTCTCTCATAAAGGCCAGA